GGGGGGGGATGTGGAATGCATCTTGCAACTCAATATAACTGTCTCTGCTGCATGAATATCAACTTGTGTTGAGATCTGGGGATGAGTAGGGTGACCTACTCTGAAAAACTGTGACAATGCGGAATCCCAGACATTTACCTCCTCAGAGATGTAGGAGTGGGGGGAGTGAATGTGTGTATGTGTTAATTAGGCATTTACACTGAAGTAGATGGCATCTGTCACACAGTAAACATCAGAAACTGCTGAAGTATATGAAATTTTCTTCGGAAACTATGTGGGTGATATTAAGCACTCTGTTAGGAAACACAAGTAGATGTATTTTTTGTTCCTCTCCTGGCTTTTATGACAAAATTGGCATTTACTTTTTGGAATTAGTAGATGAGAGTTGCTGTAAAATTGGGGAAAAGAGCACTTCTGTCATGAATTGGATCCAGAAGAAGCTAAAAAACTGTTGCTATTGTAATGCCAGGGGATCTGTAAATTATCTTAGTGGATTTGTTTTATACATTGTATATGCACTGAAAATAAGTGTTTAGGTCTTTGCCTTAAAATAATTTTTCATAAATTTCCGTACTAACAAAACCGTTTTGTACTTGGATGTTGAGGGACATACATATGTAAATGTGACTTGTTTATAATGTAGGCTCCAACTAGCAATCTGCAGCAGCTGAATGACTCTTGGAGAGAGTTACCTTGATTCTTGATGTTAAACAGGACATCTCTAGGAGTGCCATATGTGATCTTAAAATTATTATTTGGGATGCAGGTTCAATTAAAGGGATAACTCAGTAAATTTGGAGTATGGCTGGGCATGAGCGCATGCTGCTGTCAAGTGAGTACATGTGCCACCCTCTAGGGTAAAGGAGACCTAACATGATCTAGCCAATTTGGGCATTTACTAGCTCTTATTCAGTGTAGTCCTAAATCGGGTTATCTCCTGCAAAGCAGATATTGAGTATTTTTGTGGCGCTTCTATCCAAAATTTTGAGTGACGGGCATATTTCTCTCTTCGGATATGATGCCAAGACCTGGCACCAAACCTGGTTTATATATCCTCCTGAAATACTGAGACATAATGTAAAGAAGGATCTCCAAAACCAATCACTGCTGCAGTTGTTAGCTGTTATTGCATTCTGCACCCTGAGAGCTGCTGCAGCCTGGAGTGGTGCTCGGAGCCAGTCCAAGCCAGAAATGGCTGGCTAATCAGCCCTGATGGACTCCTCACTTTACTTGCCTATTTGCTGGGAACATGGTGAAAAAACGCAAAGCTATTCCTCTGTGAAGATGTGGCAGGATTTACTGGTTTAGGTGCCTTGCCATGAAAGTGGCTTCTGGACCTAAACTGGCTTTGGAAAAGGTGGCCATTTTCGTGCATTTTCTTCTAAACTGTGTTGGACTTGAGCTAGTTCATCTCTGTGTATGTGGTCATGAAGAATCGTGCAGTAAAATAGTTTTACTTCAAACTGTGTCCAGTTGTCTTTGTACCTTAATCCAAAAGTAGTTGCCCAGTTTAAGAGTATTCATTCTAATTTTCTTCTGCTAGGAGTCCGTGTTAAATCCAGAGTATTATTAGTGGTTATTTGTCATAGATGTAGAGCTGAGGAGGTTGTGATTTGGATTTCCAAAGTTGAAACAAACCTATACAGGGATTTGGATGACTAAATTAAGTCTGTAGTTTTTGAATTAGATGGATGTTCTGTAAAATGATGATTCAGTAAGTTTTGACGAATCTCTTATTTCTGTTGCTGCAAAATAATTAGTCCTTATGAAATATACGACTTCAAATATACAGCTTCTACAGAAATTAAGCTGCTCTTACACAAATAGGATGTGTCTTTTCATGACTTCTAGTTGTTTGCATTATCTAACTTGAAACAAATAGCTTAAAGTGTATCTTTAGAGGCACTGGTAGCTGATATGATTAAAACTTGCAGTATAAACCGTTAAGCGCATTAAGGTTTGTCTGCTTTTACAGTCCTTGTTGTTACCCATTCATGCTTGAGATTGCAGGGTCAATTGTAATACATATGAAGGAATTTCATTTCTTCAGGAACGTCCTGGGAACGACTTCTTTGTTTTGTTGGCATTGTTTTCGTAAACTAAAATAGAAAAGGAAGAAATTACACCTCTGAAGTTTAAGCTGTAGAAAGTTAGGGACAAGTTTTGAATACCTAGAATTGTGTGATTTAAGTCAAGCAATTAATCAACCCTTGAATTTGAAAATAATTATATTTGAAACTTGTGCTTGAAAAAGGGAACTTGCTGGATTCATTGGACTGTCTAGAAATAATTGTATTATAAGTCAGCTTCTGCTTAGTGAATTAACATGTGAATTATGAGCCCCTTGGTAGTAAGCTGAAAGTTTTGGCTGTCATATGCATTCAAATGATGGCTTTTGTTATAATGCTGGGTAGTAATTATGATTAATGTAATTATGTTTGTTTATACTATACTGTAAATTCTGCAGTGTATTTATGTAATAGTATTGTGTATTCTTCATGAACTACATGTATTGTGAAAAAATCAAATATTCAGAGGGGAATTAACATCATGAATTACAAAGAAGAAATGGATCTCTACTTCAAGATTAGATGTGGGTTGGTTTAATCACCTTTATGAGAAAGGAGATATGAGAAGGATCTATAGATTGAAGAGCTCTCTCTGGAACCCAAAAAGCCTGAAGGCTTTGAACTAGTCGGAAGGAATAGAGACCTTTTTCTTGTCCTTTAGAGATTTGCTTGGTGCCCTGTAGGCAGTGTATCGGGCAATGTGAGTGTGATATGGCTACTGTTTTGCTGTTTTGTTGTATCTACATATGGTGTATTAGGGTGTATGCAAGGCTGAACTGACACTGAACTAGAGAAGGCACTAAACTTGCAGTAAAGTAAACAAGGAGAAATGAATTTGCCAGGTTACAGGGGAATGTAGGAAAGGAAGAGTAAAAACTCCAAAGAGTTTAAGTAACAGTGAGATGTTTCAGAAGTGAGGAGAAAATGGTGGGGGAAAAATGCTCAAGACTGTGTACATGAATCAAATTAGTGGTTTTGCAGTATCTTCTGTGGCTGCTTATGGTACTAATGGGACTGTTGGTGTCTTAGTGTATTAAAAATAACTGTATTAAGTTAGTCATTTTCTATATGGAATCGTTTGGTTTTGTAAAGCATACATACTCAAGTGTACTTAAGCTTGATTAACTTTGTTTAGACGTGTAAACCATGTTGAAATTCAAACCAGCATCTTAAAGCATATAAATTGATCATGCAAATAAAGGTATCCAAGGGCTATGTTGTTTCTTGTACTTAGTGCTGTAGGAAGAATGATAGATAGGCTAATTTTGACAGCATTTGAAATTGCTGAGGTATACTTTCTGCAAAAGCATTAATATCTTGCTGCATGATTCTGTGCCTAGTGCTTTGGGTGTTTTGGTTTTGCTTTGTTTTAATGCGAAGCTAATGCTGTAGTAGTAAAATAAAACTACAATGACTTTACAGAAGCAATAATTCAAATGTGAAATGTGTGGTGGTTCCAGGTTGTGTGAACTCATAGTTGAGTACACAGCAAATTGACGAGCTATTTAAGAGATGCCCCAGAAGGAAACTTGGAATTAGGTTAATCCTACCCCAGGAACAGGCCATTAGCCTGTTTGCAAAGTTCAGAAAACTCCTGTGCTTGTTATACATGTTTGTTGTATTTACCTGAATGTTTGTTTCATACTGTATTCAATATTAGCAAAATATTGTTTAACTAGGCTTGTCACATACTAGATGGCTTTTTTTTTCCTGGCCTTGTTTTTTTCTGAATTAGCCAATAGTATGTGGGCTACGTTACTTCTAACCTAAGTTTGCCATGCTTGACAGCCTTCATGCTACTTGCAAATAAAATTCCTTTTCACAAAGAACAAAATAAACTAAAAATGTTTCAAATTTCACATATGTGAGTACTCATTTTCTAAAAGAACAGGGTTTTAAACAGTGTATTCTTCCTTCTGAGTGCTAAAGATATCAAATGTTTCATAAAAATAAAACTGGTAGGCATTCTAAATGTCAAACTGTCAGTATAACCAAGTCTTACTGACACATAGCTAGTATAATCTTGCACAGTTTAAGCAATGGCATGGTTTCTTAAATATGTACTGAAAGAGAGCTTAGAGGAGAACAGCATGAGAAAAACTGATTGTTCTGTTTCTTGGGTCTGTGTGTATATTACCTTAAAGGAAAAGTAATTTTGAACTCTGAAAACATGTTGATTAAACTCCTGTAACTTTTTCTTCAAGATAAGAGTGCATATGAGTTGTAAACAGACTTCTGACTTCAAACTTAGCAATTTTATTATTCCTGGTAAAATGTTGGACACATTTGTCCGTTTTGTATAATTCAGATTTGACTAAAAATGTTTGGCAAATGCATATAAATGAGGATACAATGGATTAGGAATCAAACTTGAGCCTGCTTAAATAATTCTCAAGATTTTCTGGTTCACGTGTAGTGATATTGAACTCTTTAGTCATAGGCTTTAATTTGTGCATGGTGCTGACCTGATGCTGTGCAGGGACACTCACTGCATCCCTTCATTCAATTCACTCTAATTATCCCCAACTTCCTGGGGAGCCTGCTTAGAACTGGTCATGAATGTTTGTTATTAAGTATTAGGGTATTAGACTACCCTGGTTACATGTAACAAAGTACTTTTTAGACTGAATTTACATATAGATGATCAGTATAGGAAGCTGAAATTATATTTGTCATGATTTTATTTAATCAAATTCAAAATAATATATTGGAATAATAAAACATTTTGACAGTGACTTAAGCTTGGAGTTATATGAAATTAGGTTTATGTGTGAGTTCTTATATGCCAATGTTGGTAATTTCAGTGTGTATTTTAGAGTGGTTATGGTATGTAAATTATCTTTGATACAATCAGATTTGTGTGTATACTTCAGGGTGATGGTAATTATTTTTGCTGGGAGCATCTGTTAATGCAGAATATTGCCTCTTCAGGTTCATGTGAAAATGGCGGACGAAGCTGTCTGTGTTGGCCCAGCTCCCACCAGCAAAAGCTACCTCAACATGGATGCCATCATGGAAGTCATTAAGAAAACCAGGGCCCAAGCTGTGAGTCTGAATGAGTCTATCTGCTGCAGCTGTTTCATATATAGAAAGCAGAAAAGCCAGAGTTTGTATTTTTTTTAAAGGTGTGGGGGGGGAAGTGATTGAATATGCTATTCCAGTTAGTTCATGTCACATGAGTTAAATGTGTCTGAAATCGCTACTGGAAATCAAAGGCTTTGTAGCATCTGGCGGCACTGGTGGCTGATCCTGCAGGTGGCTGCTGGATTCAGCTTTCACACCAGGGAGCAGCTTCAGTTCATTTCCAAATTTGCTGGGGGAAAAAAAAAAATCCCAATTAGTTTTGAGCACTAACCCTTTATATGCCATAATGGCTTTTTTTTGAATGTTTTACAAAGTGTATCCAAAAAGGCTTTTGCTTAAACTTAGTGTGAATCACTTTTTAAATTGTATAAATGTTGTTTACAGGAAGATAAGATGAATGGTGCTTCCCATTTTTTTTTTTTTCAGAATGTTTACAAAATGCATGTTAGCTTATGTGTGTAAATGTGGGCTATTCTGCCTTTCTCCCTCCACATTGGCCAGACATTCAAAGCTTAGCAGGAATCAGTTGAAAAAACTAATGTGTAGTCATGTTGACATGCCTAATGTTCTTTGTTCTGTCAGTGAAGCAAATGTATTATTCAGAGCAAGTCTATACAGGGCATTTATGAAAATAAAATTTGATGAGTATATGTGAGCAACACTAATTACCCTGGAACAGTTTGGATCAGCATTGTGATTTCTTTCAAAGAGGATGTTTTGGTATAGTGGTTTCAGGGATCAAGAACTTGTCTGTAAGGAAAACTGTTTCCTTCCCCCTGAGTTTCTGAATGTGGAACCCAGTTGTTTAGGCCCTTCAAAAGAGGGGAATAAAATTGCTTATACTTTGTCTGTCAGAGTGTATTGGGATCAAGAATCTTATGTGAATTGTGAAAAGTAAAACTTTCTAACACTCCTCTTAAGTAATTACAGTGTACAAACTGGGGTGTGAATAACAAACCAGACTCGTAAGGATGCATGACTTAAACTAATGAGACGCTAAAGTGTTCTCCAGCAAGGGTTGGTAGAGGTAGGAGGCTAATGACCGAGGACCGGAAGACCACTGTTCTCATCACTGCTAGAAATACTTTGGGATGGAGGAATTATAGTGGTTACTGACAAGAGTGTGGATGAGCATACACGTGGAAGGCTGGAAGTCTGGCATGAGATAAATGTGGCAAAATGGACTTAAAAAGAATAGAAGGCAAAATGCCAAAGGGAGTGGGTGCCCATTACTCTGCAAACAGCACCTTTCTCCCTAGTTAAGTATGGAGTATTTGTTTCAGAAATGGCAGTTTAACCAGTGAGTCTTCACAGCTTGACTTATATACATCAGTGTGTTAAGACACAGTTTCTTAAAATACCTAAATAATTTAAATGCTTAATCATCTACTTCACCTTCCCCATTATCTGAAAAGGTGCTGGTAAATCTGGTGTCTGGCTTCAGAATTCAACCAACGTGATTTCTTTTTTTTTTCCCAAGGTACACCCAGGATATGGATTTCTTTCAGAAAATAGAGAATTTGCTAGACGTTTGGTAAGTTACTTCTGTTTGTTTGGCTGTGAATGATGCGCTAGGTGGCACATATTTATTCCAAGATATATCAATCAAGAAATCAATTCAAGGCAGATATAAAAAGATCAAAAAGGTCTCCTTAATATAGGAGACTTCAGTGTGCTTTCTGTGTACATGAATTTCTTGCATTTTGAGGGTGTAATTGCAGCCAGTGTTTTCTTTTGGGAAAAGGGGAGGTGCCTGATTGTAAGAACTTTACAAAAGATATAAGGAACCTTTTTGGCATTTTCAGTTGTGGTCGAGCTGTTTGAGGCTGCTCTGTAAAACTGGGTCACTGAAATGATCTAGGTTAAAAGTATCTGTTTTTAAGTGATCATTTTGGTGATTCATAGCACAGCTGGTGAACAGCTGTATCAGCAGTCCTGAGAAGGTGCTGAACTGCACTTTCAGGATGGGAGTAGAAAGCTGTTTAAAAACTGGCTTCTCTGCTGGTGGTCATGTATTGTGGAGCTGCATTCTCAAGAGAGAATCAAGAGGATTCTGTTTTCACTTCATGTGGACGATAATTTTTATAAATTCAGACAACTTCTTTACTTCAGTGGGGTTTTTGTACATCACAGAAACCGAGATGTCTTTTTTACTAATGCTGTTTTTTTTTTTTTTCCAAAAGATTTCATGCAGCTGCCTAAAAATTTGAGCAGTGCTAGAAGAAAGTTACATGCGCAGTGTCTGAGCAAAGACCTGAGTGGATGCTGTATGTGTAATCACTGCAGGTCATGTGTTATTGTCTATTGGTTTCACTGAGAACAAGGTCAAGCACATATTACTTGCAATTTCCAGTGAAAAGCTTTTGTAGCTACCAACTTTGTGGAGTAAACAAGCCATATAGCTGAGAAAGCATCTTGTTTTACAGGCAGTAAAATAAATTTGTTGTTGGTTTTGAGAGTAATTTGCACCTTTTTGGTTCAGGGTAAAAAAACACAGATGAGGAATGTGATTCTTCCCAATGATAGCTCTTTCATTCTTAGCATTTGTGGAATAGCTCTTGTTTTCATCTTTTCCTTGACTATGTCCCTTTTAGCTTGTAGCACAGACCCTTTCTATTTAGTTGGTTGTTTGGTGTTAGAGAATACCACCTGCTCATTAAAGAGATTATTTGGGAATGAAGTCTCAAATTTTTATACCTGGGAGCTGCTGTGATTTTTATTTATTTATTTATTTAAAGCACCCCAGATAAAAGTAAGTGCAGGTCCTGTGTGATGTTGAATGCATCCTTCTGGGTGCTGGTGGTGTTGAAGTTGAAAGGAATTCTAAACCCTTAGCGTTTGCCAGGATTTACCAAATCTGGGGTAATCTCTTACCTGTTACTTTCATGCAGTTTAGCAGCTTGTTTTTATTGCTGTTCTGCTTCATGTACTAGAACCTCTTTTTAGAGGGAAGATTCCTGGTTTAATTTACAGCAACCTGTACTCCCACTGGATTAGACCAGCAGGATAACTGGCTTTAGTTGGCAATTCCTGTTTTTTTAATAAACAAACAAACAAAAAAAGTGCTTGCTCATGCTTTTTGCGTTGTATTCTGCTGCCAAACTTTGAAATTTGGTAGCTATTACTCCTACACTGGGCACATTTCCTAGTAATTTGGTGATTGTTCGGCGATGTAAATTGTAATCTTGGTGACATGACAATCTGGAAGACTTTTTGTCAGGATTAAGCAGAAATAGAGGAAGTACAAAGCTTCCTGTATATCCTTCCCCTTTCCTATTTCTTATCTTTTCGCTTAAATCCTTGGAACAGTGAATTCCTGAAATAAAGCAGTGACAAGAATAGAAAAGTATTCAAGTTTGGGTTGGTGCTACAGTCTCAAAATAGTTTTTAGAAAGTTTCAGAAACCCAGTATGTTTTGTTTTGTTCTCTAAAAATGTAATAAACCAAGGTAGTTCTACTTTGCTTTCTGAAACGCACTATTTAAAGTCTCAATTAAGACATAATCATGCTTCCCTTTGTCAGTGGCTCTAGAATATCAAACCCCTAATGAGAACTGGTGAAACGATCTGTCTTTTTATCACTAGGGCTGCTTATATTTTTTTTAAGACACCCTGATTAATATATTTAGGAGGAAAACTTGCCTGCTGTTTCTTTTCTTTGCTAAAGCTTGTAAATAATGTTGCCAAAGATGTATGTGTGTTCTGTTTTCTTTCCCCCTATCTGTCTCTCAGCCCGTACACTGTTTTGTTCTTTTGTGCTGAAAGTAGTGATGAAACTTGGGTTTATTTCCTGGTTTGCATTTGTACTTTTAAAACAAACTACCTAGATTTGGAAACTGGTAAGTACACTAAACTTTCTAAATTTGCCAATCTAAGAGGAGGAATGAGCTCAAAGCAAATCTTTGTCTTCACTTAATACAGGGAGGGTCAGTTCACATGTAATCCCACTGTGTGTGACTTGAACAAAAGCATGGCTTTATGTTCGTTTTTGCCTAAATGATTTGTGGAATAGCACACAGCTACAGACAGTCCATGTGAAGAATTTGATGGATACATTTAGAATATTGAAAATTACTAGTTGCTTTTAATTTTTTTTCTTTTTTTAGAAGCTTAATTTTGTTCTTTTTGGATGGAGGAGAGCACAAGTAAATGATCTGTTGTTTCCAAAACAGAATTTTCAGAAAGCAGCCAGTGAATGAATATCTGGCATGTTGTTCATTGTGATCCAGATAGAAAAGTTGGTGCATTCAGTCCTCTCTTCATGTGTATGTATTCTGGTCGCTGTTGATGGCTAACAGAAAAGGGATCCATAGTATTTTTATCAGGCAAGTCTGTAGAAGATTTCCTAAACCTTAAAGACTATTTATCAAAAATTGGTATTTGAATATGAAATATTTTTAAAAACTTTTAAGGCAACACTGGTAACGTTATTATGTAGAATAACAAAACATGGCTTTGTGCAAGTGAATGTAGTTCCTTGGAACCTTACTTTGGTTTCTAATTTTGAAATTTGAGTTCTCCAACTTGGAACTCCTGCACTGCTAATAATCTGTACATTAAGGTTGGAAAATTCAGTGCATAAGTTGTTACTTGTAGTTTATGCATGCAGATATATTTGCATGGAAGCAGTTTGCTTCCTTTAAGAAATAATTACACAATATTCAGTATTGACATAAATCCAGAGGTGCAGTTAAAATATACTGGCACATTGAAAGAAAAAAAAATTAAAATTGCTAATACATTTTGCCAGGTGCTGTGCAGAGCCACAAGAGCATTTGATCCTTCATGTTTTACAAGAATTTGCTAGTGCCCTCTGTATTTAGGTTAGGTTGCTTAATGTTTCCCATTATACAAAGTTAATGCAGATCCTTTCTGAGAAGGTCTGTCACCTCTATTATCTGCAGCAGGCCTTTGAAATTTGGCAAGGAGAAATGCCTGGGACTAAGATGGGCCATTTGGCCTGTTGAAATATATACTTTTCTGAAATTGCCATTTTCCTTTCCTCACTTGTAAACATCTAGGGTAACTGTTGTGGTGAGGGGTGGGAGTGCTCAGTCAGATCTCTTCATCTGCCAAATGCTTTGGGATTGGCCCATAGTCCCAGTGACTTATTTTCCTCCTTGTCTTACCTGGGTGAAGAAGGAAATGGGGAGAGAAAAAGCAAGTGTGTGACTGAGTTGCACAATCATTATCCCAGAATCAGTGCTCCTTCTTGTACCTGGCTGATGGTAACGGCAAGTAGGAATCGTACTCCTGTAGCTAATGTTATGTATGTTCTTGTTTTCTTTTAATGGTTAGAAGCTTAAACCTTGATGCATCATGACTTAGTGTTGCAGTTGCTCATAATGGGGTCAGTTTCCTCCTCTTTTAATTGAAAGAAAAACAGAAATGAACTTCCCTGTCCCCATTTGCCACAAAAGTTCTTTAGGAAGCTAGTTTAAAATAGGGGGGAAAAGAAATCAGCCAAGTGAACGCTATTCCTTTGCAAAGTCTAGTATGAAAAATACCAGATTGCAGGATTTATATCTTCAGTATGTTTTAGTCTCCTGTACATGAATATATATGATAAAGTTCCTACTTTCATAGATGGTGCCTTGTGGTGTATTTTCCCCAAGAAACCTATGGAATTTGTGCATAAAATCTCAAAGTGATGAGAGTTAAATTCAAATTTTATCTGGCATATTCATTCTTTTGAATGCAGCCTTGACAATACTGTCCTGATACTGTATTTGATACAAAAAAAAAAAAGCTAGCCGCAATCCTCTGCCAAAATCCCCTCCTTGCAATAGAAGCCATAAAAATGGTAGGACAAAAGGATTTTATTTTTGGAATAAGATATGGATATGAAGCCTTTTGGAGTTCCTAGTGGAACCTGGTTTTATGCATCTTTTGTGCTCTCTTAGCAGCTACTGTTCAGCATGACTAAGGGGAGAACAAAGCAGCCAGCACTATTTCTCTTCACTTTTGAAGCTAGATTAACATTCTTGGAGGAATTAAAAAAACAACACTGTATTGTCTGAAATAAATGAGCAAACAACGTGTATGGAAGTGGTTGACCACATGTTTGTAAATGGCTGTTAAATTTGAGATGGAAAAGGTGAAACAAAGAGCAACATATGTCATCATCTTCTGTAAGGGAACACATATCTGACCTGTGAAGAACTTTGTGCAGGTGGATCCGTAGGTCTATGCACAGCTAATTATGGGATTGTCACCTTTTAAAATGTAAACTCTGAATGGCAGTTTCCTTAACATAGCTTTGTTATTTGTAAGCAAATTATAAAGTTCCTTTATCATGACTTCAATGGATTCTGTGTTTTTGAGAAGTGTTTGGCATGCTTCTTGTTCCATTCCCACATGCCAAGGCCAGGCCTGATATGGCTTTGAGCAACCTGGTCTAGTGGAAGGTGTCCCTGCCTGTGGCGGCGGTGTTGAAACTAGATGATCTTTAAGGTCCCTTCCAACCCATGCCATTCTGTGATTCTGTGCTTGGCTTTCTACCTGGCAGTTTATGTAACTGGTTAGAATTTGCATT